ATATAAATTTTACTGAGAATATAAATGTATTAATTAAATTTATTATATTATATAGGACATATTAAAATTTATAATTAAATTTTTAATATTGTATAAAAATGTTATTAAGTTTATTACATAAAAGTACTGTTAAATTTGTTACATATGTAAACGTAAAAAGATCTACTTATATAATTTATAATCTATAGCATCGGAAATTGAACATATATATATTTTATTTTCAATTTGGATATTTGTGTCATGAATGAATTCTCTTACTTTATTATATCAATGCATAATAGTTGATTTGCGGTATATCGCTTGTTGTGAAAGAGCAATTTGTATATCGGATATTTTTGGAGAATAATAGTAGGATATATACATATTCCATAATTTATGCTTTTAATTTTATCGATAGAACCTCCGATGAACTTTGAATTAATTTTAATAAAAAAGTATTTCTAAATTTTGTAAATTAAATATTCGGGAAAATAAAGAGTATAATGAATTTAATGCGAATTCTTTATTTTCATAGAATTTTAATAAATCAATTTTAAAAAATTGATTTTAATACTTTCAAATGAAAGTAAATTTTACGATTATGAAAAGATATATTACAAATTAGAAACTTCAATTAGAAATTAATATCTATCGTTAGAATCAAGATCACAAATTGTGGACTATTCTGTATGTAGCTACAGCTAGACTTCATGCAGCTAGACGATACAACTCTGAATTTCTTACCGCATATCTAAACATATTTGCGAAATGAAATTTCTTCTAGAGAAAAATTTCTCCTCCCGTACTTTCGTATTGTACAAATGTAATAACAGCTCGTCACATATTGCATTATTAGTCAATGCTCGAAATAAAATGATTTGTATATAACTATATAATTATTTTTAGGATTGTGCTTATAAAAGTAAGAGTTTATAATAAAATATGTACGAAAGAAAGACCTGAAAGCTAATGAATTATTATATAACTGTCGAATATGATCAATGTATAAATAAAAGCGATTCTAGCCAAGATATAATATTGTCTCGTTATTCCTTTCATTGATGATTAAAATTATTTACTTCTTGAACTGAGATCGTATTTGGAAATAGTATACAAGGTGGGGCATTTTAATCGCTCCATTTTTAACTTTCAAGTCTTATAACTCAAAAAATACTTCATGAAAAAATATTTTATTTATGCTACAAGAACATGCAATAAAAAATGGGGTCTTATATAAAAAATTCATGTTGACCTGACATTGATAGTATCCCCCTATCCAAAATCCGTTATTTCCACCTTCTTTCTCCCAAGAAAATCTATAACTTTTATATAAAACTTTTTTTGTATCTCTTTTAGTTTCTGAGATATTCGCTTAGGATATTAAAATGCGTCAACCTGTGTATATATATATATA